TAGGAAGAGTAGTGGTCATCATTCTTCCTTTACATGTTCTTCCCTCAGTTTGGGTTTATGCATGAACAGAAAGGAAATCTTTTCCCTCTCACACAGCATCCTGTGTGATCTCTCATTTCCACTTCCCTTTCAGAGTTTGTTTGTACATTAATTTGTTAGCTCATTTTCATGGTCGTAGCACGTGTGTTTTTAGTACTTAGTACTTTTAAATAGGTGGGCACTTTGCCTAGGCGTTGGCTCTACAGTGGTGAACAATAGCTCCTGCCTTCATGGAGTTTAAATCTAGTATGTTTTGGGGGGCTACTTGTTAATATTACAAATAAACTGAAACATGCTGTGAAAGTGAAGTATGGGGGATTATGAAACATATAATGGGGGGATGTGAACTAGTGTGAGAAGTTAGGGATAGTGTTCCCAAAAAAGTGATATTTAAGCTGTGATCTGGATGATATGGAGGAAATAACTAGGAGTTAGGGGGAAGCAGAGGATGGAGAACATGTCAGGTGGAGAGAACAGCAGGTGCTAAGACTCTTACGAGGGAAGGAGTACATGAAGCATCGGGGGACCTGAACTAAAGAATACCAGTGTAGCTGGAGCAAAAGGAAGGAAGTAGTGAAATGAGGTGAGTGCAGCTGGCAGGTTGAGGACTGTCAGGGCCTTGTAGGCCATGGTGGGAATGCCTCAGTAGAGCCATAAAAGGGCTGCTCACTTTCACCCTCATGAAGGCATACTTGAGAGACTTGTACTGGAATACCTGGTAAATAAGAAATATGGCACCAGCCACTAGAAGCCTAGAGCTCTAAACACTTTTTTGATATTACAGAGATCCTTTTTATTGGAGAAAGGTCTGAATACTTTAGCAACAGTGTAAGTTTAATTATTTTTAAACCAGTAAATAGTTTATTCACACAGATGATTTTTTTTTTTTTTTTATCGATAGTTCCTACTTCAGAGATTCTGTAGTGATGCAAAAGTGCATATACTAGTATATTTTGTCTGTGGTTGAAATTATGGCTTCCCGTAAAACCTCATTAATTATGGTGTGGGTAAGGCCTTTCTAAATTTATTTTTAAAAGAAGCATAACAGTGTTATTGTATGTTAATGACCATAGATATATTAAAATGAAAATAAACCTGTGATATCTACTAAAAGCTTTTTATTAGTAAACATATGGAAATTTTCAGTTAGTGGAACAAACTCTCAAGCCAAACATGTTAACCATATGGTAGCTGATTCAATCATTAATCCATTCATATATTTTTATTCAATAAACATTTATTAAAATCTTCTACTAAATGTGTCCAAATGACTTGATAATTTTTTATCTTATTTAGGTAAAATAAATCTCATAATTTTATATTTTAGTCATTAAAACATTTTAAAATTGAATAATTAAAACTGTATCATGAAATGTGATTATTGAATAAAGTTCAAATTAAAGAAATTTAAAAAATCTATTTGTGTATGGTGATATTAGAAAAGTTGGAGCTCCTCAATAAATATTTTCTGGGCATTAGTGTTTCTTTCAAATGTTCAGTTACTTTTTAACTTTCACTGCAGAGTTTGGAGTTTAGGTAGATAGAGATCTTTGGCTAGAGTATCTCTCTCTTGTACAATAGTTAAATGATTACTTTGATGGAGTCTCACTTTTACTGTTCAGAAAATTAAATTTCTTAGTGCTTCTAGATGTGATTGGGCTCAGAGGACTGATCATGCTAACCCTACTCATGAGAGACGTTATACAAATTAGAATGCTAATGCATAAAAGTTTAAATAAAGGCATCTTTTTAAAAAGAATAAATTATAGAAATTGATCAAAATAATGCATGTATATGGTTTTTAAAAAATCAGATGAGGGGTTGGAAGGGTGGGTGGGGAGTGATTACCCAGGAACTTATATGTATATATGCATAGTCCATAGACACAGACAATAGTGTGGTGAAGGCCTAGGAGGGAGGCATAGGGTGGAGGGAGTCAATGGGGAAAAAAACAAAGGGGATATCTGTAATATTTTCGACAAAAGTGAATTTTTAAAAAAATCAGATGATTTCAAGACACATAACTCATAGAAAAAAAATTTATCTCCTGTTTAGTCAGTTTTTCTCTAGTAACAAACAACTTGAACATTCCAGAATCTATGATCTTAAACATTTATTTCTTTCACATGCAGATGTTACAATTTGACAGCTATACGTGAGCTGCCATGGCTTTGCTTTATCTCTGTGTCCCTTTCCAAGACCCAGCTTGAAAGAGCAGCCCTATTTGGGCATGCGAAAAGGGCAAGAGGTGCAGACATAATGCCACTCCTTTAACGTTACTGCAGAGCTGGCACACTATTGCTTCTACTCATATCCCACTGGCCCAACCAAGACATGTAGCCAGTCAGATTATGGGGCAAGGAAATATTCTTCACCTACAGGAGGTGCTGAATGGTACATGGCCAAGGGCAGGGCTAAATACATCTCTGGGATTGTTTCCAGGAAATTGGGAACAATCTTACAATTCCCCTCTGACACAGTAGGTAAACAGTATGCGTAGATGATTTCTCAATTTATACATTTTAGACAGTGACTAACCACTTCCAGTTATAATTGACAAAGTTTATGTCTCTAACACTCTTTAAGCATTTCCCCCTTCATTCCTCTCACCCTTCAATATAGTTGCATTACTATTAAATCTATGCTTGCCTCGGTGTGACTATACATCTAATATTCACTAACAAGCCAGTTACTATCCTATATGTTTTTCTTTGTTCAACAGTTGTAGTATAGTAACTGGTTTGTCAGTGAACGATACAGAATGGCTAAAATTAAACAGACTGACTACCAAATGTTGCAAGAATGGAGCCACAGAAAAACTCACCCACTGAAATTGATTGGGAGGTTGTTTATTGTTGTTTTTTTGTTTGTTTTGTTTTTAGCTAAACTTCTATTACATAATAGCCATCTACTTCTGGATATTTATTCAAAAGAAACAAAAATATATTTTACATAAAACCCTGTACACAGCAGTTCTGACATCTTTTTTTTTTGTAGTAGCCCCAAACTAGAAACATCATAAATGTTCACCATTTGTATAAAAAATGTGGTATATCCATACAATGAAATATTTATTATTAAAATGGAATGGAATATTGATGCATGTAATAGCAATAATGAATTTCAGTCATTATGTTAGGACTGAAAGAAGCTAAGCTCTAAAATATGTTCTATGATTCTATTTATAACTAGAAGCCTGGTGCATGGGGGGGTTGGGTGTCCCTCAGCCCAACCTACACTGTCTCCAATCTGGGAACCCTCAAAGGATGCCCAACTGCCTGTGTAGGCCTGATTTCGGTGGGCAGTCAGACATCTCTCTTATAATCCAGGACTGCTGGCTCCCAACCGCTTTCCTGCCTGCCAGCCTGATTGTCTCTCTAATCATTTTTGCCTGCCAGTCTGATCACCCCCTAACCATTCCCCTGCCAGCCTGATCAACGCCTAACTGCTCCCCTGCCAGCCTGATTGCCCCCAACTGCTCTTCCCTGCTGGCCAGGTCGCCCCTAACTGTCCTTTCCTGCTGGCCCAGTCACCCCTAACTGCCCTCCCCTGCTGGCCCAGTCACCCCTAACTGCCCTCCCCCTCAGTCCTGGCCCCCTCAACTGCCCTCCCCTGTAGGCCTGGTCACCCCCAACTTCCCTCTTCTGCCACCCTGGTCACCCCTAACTGCCCTCCCCTACAGGCCCGATTTCTCCTCAGCTGCCCTCTCCTGCTGGCCATCTTGTGGTGGCCATCTTGTGTCCACATGGTGGCAGCCATTTTTAACCACATGGGGGCGGCCATCTTGTGTGTTGGAGTGGTGGTGAATTTGCATATTGCCCTTTTATTAGATAGGATACTAGAAAATGCAAACCAATCTGAAGTGGCAGAAAGCAAGTCTATAGTTGCCTGTGGCTAAGGTGCATGGGGAAACTTGGGATCTCTTTATTGTGGCAGGTGTAATGGGTATATGCTTATGCCCAAATGCATTGAATTGTACACATTGAATGGATGTATTTTACTATACTTAAAGTATGCCTTAGTAAAACTGGTAAAGTGAAACAATAATTTTATGCATGCATGAATTTATTAATAGTGACATTATATATGGTTACCAATTTATCATCTTCATAAATTCTTATTAGATAATATAGATTGAGTTGCAAAATGAATGTTGCAGCATTTAATTTGTAATTGGTTCCATATAATTCTAAAGCACTTTTCTATGATATAGATTTAATAACTCTTTAGCTAGAATTATGTTTTGCATATAAGTCATGATACATAATATACATATTTCTCTAATTGTAAACATATTATGAGTTTATATGATAGCATACATATAGGTATCAAACAAAAACTTCTAAATATAGAGTTTGATTTGCATTCTTAAACACTATAGATACAACTTATGAAAAACTTAAAATATATAATAAAATGTAAAAAAGTATGACATTCATGACACAATTGGATATTGACATAATTGGAATTCAAAATTATGTGAAAAAATATGTATAACATGGAAAATATTTGTGAAATATTTTTAATGAAAAAAAATGCATTTTCCAGAGCATAATGTTTTTAAAAATCTGTTTTTAAATTTTATAAAAAGGAAATATGATTGTGGTGTGAATGTGTTTAGAATGAAATACTGAGAGGATATATTTTATAATTTTTCTCATAATTTTCAGAAATATCTTTTTTGGCAATTGAGTCTTTTTAATAAAAAGGGTTTAATATTTTCAATTTAATATGTTCATACATGTAGCATAAAATTTCACTGTAAAATATTTTATTATGTTTTATTTCTTTGAAGAACATATATTACTTTTTAAACCATAAATTTATTGTTAGAAGGTGGATGGTTTTACTCTTTTACTCTGAAAACTAATAAATGAATAATCCTCCTTAAAACTTAACATAAAGTCTAAAATGTAAATATTGGTTCAGCATCTTTTAATTTCATATTTTTCTTGTTTCAGCTCTCGAACATCTTCAAATAAAGAAGTGGTTAAAAAGAACGGTAAGATCTACAGTTGCCTTTATGATTCCTTGGGGGGTTGAGGAAGGGTTTTGTCTGTGATGGCCTTCCCTGAGCACTGGTGTTTGCACGAGGAGTCTTTCATGTGAAAACCTCTTAAACTTGTGTATTCTAAATTATGAGTCAAAAGAGGCTCAAGCCTGGTATATTTCACAGCGCTTAGCATATTATTACCACTGTGATACCGAACTGGAGCCGAAGGTCTTCCCGTGATCATGTCTCTCAAAGTTGAATAATAAAATCATGAACAAAAAATGATTAATGGAACCAACATTTATTGGGAGAAGCCAGTGCTGGAAAAGGTGTAGCTGGGGTTCCAAGAACAGCCCAGTGTCCCGAACTTCCTTTCCAAGTTACAATCAGGAATAATTTAGTATCCAAGCGGATTAAAGTCTAATAGTCCCATGTGTGGAAGCCCACATGGCCATAAACCAAGTGGAGGCAGGGATGTGCTCTCCTACCACAGGAACGAACATCAGGAACCCATTGTGTACCAGGGAGAAGAGAGAACAAGAGGAAATGTGCAGCTTTTAATTTAGGGGATGGATAGTCTTGCTAGCTCCTAATTGGTCTTTTCAAAGAATTCTTAGCAATATCCTATGGATTGGTTTGTATGCTGTCAGAGCACGTAGCAGGAGCCCTGCATGAGCTCTGGTGCTCTGAGTTGTTCTGAGTACTGTGAGTTTATATATTTTTTAAAAATTTATTTTATTTGATTATGCCAGGGCTGGTTCCTACTTGAACCCTGCCAACTGTACTAACTGTTGGGAACTTAGTACTTAAGTTCCTCCTTTATCCTCTGCTTACTAGTAACAAGTGTTGGGTCTGAGCTCCTCTGCCTGGGTCTGGACCTCCTAGGATGCTGGGTCTTAGACCCAGCTATGAGAAGTTATGGCTATATAAGAATGAGTCTTTATTGCTGAAACCAGTGGCCATATAACCATCATCTAAGAACAGTTTCCACAGCAAAGTCCATACAGGCAGGCAGCCGGACACCAGCTGGTAAATGCATATCCACCCCACAAAGTAGCAATAGTCTCTGTACCCATAGCTATTATCTGCGCAGCCACACACTGCCTCCTAGACTTCCCCTCTCATATTGTCTCATACCTGACCTCTCTGACTCAGCAGCTTCTCCTGTCTCTCCTGCCCAGCTTCTCTTTTTAGTAGACTTCTTTTCACTCCATCCTTAGCCCACTCTAGCCTACTCTAGCCAACTAATTTGTTAGTAACCTACTTTTATTTATTGACTTATTTTAAAAATATATATCTTTATTGATTTCAGAGAGGGAGAGATAGACAGAAACATCAATGATGAGAGAGAATCAGCTGCCTCCTGCACGCCCCCCTACTGGGGATCCAGCCCTCAACCCGGGCATGTGTCCTCCACCAGAATCGAACCTGGGACCCTTCAGTCTGTAGGCTGATGCCCTCTCCACTTAGCCACACCAGCTAGGGCAGTAACCTACTTTTATACTATTTAGACAAAGAAGGCTTTGTGCCAACAGTGACATCAATCATAGTAGCTACATGTGTCCTTGCACCCGCTCATGGTATCTTGGTCTGATCAGAATTCCCAGGCTCAGAGTCCTTGGACATTCTGATTATACTCATGCTGAGAGTGGCCCTTGGTCATTCTAATAAATTGATAACAAGGCCCGTGTGCTCCCACTGACCTTGACTATTCGGGGACCTGGCATCGTTCCCATATATGCCTTTCTGCCTTGTGATTGGTTATCTATATGCTGCTGTCTTAACAACATCCATACATTTTCAAGTTCATGCCATTGGAGTGCCCTTCCTTCCCTGCCCAGTTGGGGTGCCTTAGTCTACTTTTTTTTTTTTTTTTCCTGTGGTACCACCCCTTTCTACCTAGCTTTCTTCTGTTGCCTCAACTGAGTTACATGAATCAATCAATGGTATTCAGCCTTTGTACTCCTCTCATTTATTTGACAGATAAACAAAATAATGAAGATATGAAACCAATCCAGAATTTCACAATACCAGTCACACAGGTATGGATATGTTAGGAAACTAAATTATGTCTTTAAACATTTAAGCATTTCAATAAGGTCAGAGCCACTGTGAAAATATAAGTAATTCTATTAAGAAATAACATTCTGCTTGAGCTTTGGGTGAGGAAATGTATTATGATAATCTTATAGTTGAGAAAAACCAAAGTTCACTTCTCTTATATATTTCATTACAATAGTTAGTTTTACTTAACTTTTCTTTCTTTCTTTCTTTTTTTTTTTTTTTTTTTTTTTAGTTAGTTTTACTTTTGTTGCTTTCCAAAGAGAATCACTATTGGACCATTTTATCTTTGGTTACAGGCAAGCTATAGGATTGCTGCTGCCTGTTAAATTTCTCTTTGTATTATACTTATCACTGGAGTAATTGGTATGGAGTAGTTATCTAGATAAGTAGATCTTCTTTGTGACCTCCAGAGTCAGGTATGGAAATGCTTTGTTTTAGGCTTCTTGGAAATCAGCAAAGGTTTCATAAGAATTAAAACAATGTCAGGATACTAGTTTGCTAATTTATGTATATTAAGTAATCTGGAGCTGTCACTATCCAAGACAGTAGCCTCTAGCCACATGTGGCATTTTAATTTAAATTCCAGAGAAATAATGCTAAGTAAAATTAGAGGTTAAGCTCCTTAGTTGCACTGGCTATGTTTCTAGGGCATTATGCCATACCAGCCTTTGAGCAGTATAGATATAGAACACATCCAATATATGGGGATTGTTCTGTTGGACACAATGGTCTGGAGAATTATGCTTGATTTCTAAAAACCTCTTGTTTTCTTTAATATTAATTTCTTTAGTTAAAGTCCTGCATTATTTGGGTTCTTTCAATATTATTTTCTGAGAAGACGACTACAATTATGACATGATGAAATTTTTAAATTAATAGACTTAGGTTTACAGAAAAAAAGTGAACAAAAAATATAGAAGGTACCTCCCTCCTCCAATTTTCCCTATATTTAACATCTTTCATTAGTGTGGTACATTTGTTAAAATTGATGAGCCAATATTGATTAATTATTATTCATTAAAGTCTGTAGTTTACATTAGGATTTATTTTTTTGTGTTATGCATTCTATTAGTTTGAACAAATATATAATGTTATCTATTCACCATCACAGTATTATACAAAATGATTTCATGGCTTTAAATATCTGCATCCCTGCTTTCTGTCCCAGCAAGTGACTTTTTAAAGTCTATATTAATAAGGTTATTGGAAAAGTTGGGTTTTTGTTTGCTTGTTTTTTAGTTTGGTCTTTTCCATTTTTGGTGCTTTGTGGAAATGGATTCATGTACCTTTTAGGTATACCTATTTTGTTATGATCTAGTCCACTTATCTCCTTTGCCCCACAATAATATGGATTCTGGACTGAGAGATCAGTTCAATAGTTGGTGAATTAGCCCTTTTGCTTCCAGAAAGCATTTTATCTCTTATTTTGTTTATTTGGTTAATTAGGCCCTGAACTACAATCTGAGCAGACAAGGGCATTTAGTAAAAGAACCTTGGAATGCATTCAGCCATGACTGCCCAGTCAATGTCTCCGTGGATGGAATCCCATGCATTCTCTTTTGGGCCAAAAGAATAACAATTAAGTTTAAGAACCAGACCTGGCTGGACCTTACAGAGGAAACTTTGGGCCAGAAGGCAACAGTGGATGCTATCAACTCAAATTGCAGTGAAGAAAGTGCTAAGTAAGTTGACCATCAGATGACACCTTTTGGGTGATTGTAGTCTATTAACTGGACTGTCCAGTTTTCTGTCATTTCAGAACAAAGAAGTAGGTTCCTTTGTATATGACCTGACACACATCCATTAGGAAATTTTAAATAATCTACAATGAAGACCAAGTCAGAAATTAATTTTTAAAAATGTGTTATTTTTTTTGTCTCAGCACATTTTTTCTGTATCCTTTAGCTGATTATTACAGTACCTTGTTGGAAATCAGGGCTCTGAAAATGAAGGTTGTCAAATGCATTCTGAAAAAGAGAAAAGGATTTCAGGCATGCTATCAGCTCTAAATGTGAGATGTCAAACTACATTGGTCTCATCAGGGAAGAAATTTCATATCACAGGGCAGAATCATTCCAGTGGGTGAATGGAGAAGACTGATCCTGCTCAGGGCAGATATTTGATTTTAGGGAGTGTTCTGAAGTTGCAGAACATGGTGTGTTTCCAAATATGCTAGAATACCTTTAAATGGCCAAATGTCAGATAATTCTTTTTTTTAATGAAATTCATTGGGGTGACATTGGTCAACATGAACATATAGGTTTCAGGTGTGGGTTTCTATGTTACAAGATCTTTATATTTCACATGTGCTCACCACCCAGAGTCAAATCATCTCCCTCCCCCTCCTCCCCTTTCCCTCTACAACCATTACATTGTTGTTTGTGTTCATGAGTTTCAGTTTTATATCTCACATATGAGTAAAATCATATCATTCTTACCTTTTTCTGACTGACTTATTTCACTTAGCATAATGTTCTCAAGGTTCCATTCATTTATTGCAAATGGCGCTATTTTATCCTTTCTTATAGCTGAATAGTATTCCATTATGTATATGTACCATGTCTTCTTTACCCAACCCTCTATCTCAGGATACTGGTTGTTTCCATTTCTTGGCCACCGTGAATAATGATGCATTGAATAAAGGGGTGCATATATCTTTTGCGAATACATGATTTTGAGGTTTTTTGAGTATATACCCAGGAGAGGAATTGCTGGTTCAAAAATTGAGAACAGATCATCCTTTAGGACATTTCAAAGTAATTAGAATAATTACATTTGATTTGACATAAGCAGATTAAACAGATACCCCCTTAGAGGAGGAAATCAATTGCCAAGGCCTTTCTCTGCTTTTCAGTTGTCCAAACCAAATTTTTTGCTTGTATTTGTTTTGGTCCAGGAGGAGGAAGTCTGGCATGTCCCACTTATTTCCTGTAAATCTCCTTGCTTTCAGTATTTACTGGTACAATGGAGGATTTTGGAAGATTCTGTCCTGGTCTGGTTTAGATGGGCAGAAAGTTTTATATAAACCATAACATACTGTGTGTGTGTGTGTGTGTGTCTAGTCTTTTTATATTTATATACCTTGGCTGAAACATTCTTATTCTTGAACTTCAAAAATTCTTGATGTTGGGTAAAGTGGCTTATATTTATATAATCCTACAAGTTATATTACAAGTCTTAGTATGTACCTTGTTACTCAGAATAACTCTCTTATTAGGGAACTATGGAATTGTAAGTATCCAGGGTCCTCCCAGATTTGTTTATTCTGTTACAGTTGACTATCAGAGACTCCAGCACTGCTGAGAGTTTAGGACTCTTTCCTCTGGCACTAGACAGTCCCCTACAGGGCTCTGACTGACAGTCAGCTGCTCAGAGAGAGGCTGATTGCCTGGGGATTGTCTTGCCTGTCCATGTCTGACTGACTCTCCTTGATTCCATTTATTCTTACCTGAGGCTATTTGTGGGGAATAGCAGAGCACCATAGGGTTTCGTTGGGCTTTAGAAACTGCAATGATCACTGGGATCCCACAGAAAGAATGAAAACTTGCCTTCTAACCTGAGTTCTTCCAGTGAGCTTGGTGACTTTACAAAACTGAAGCCACAATAGAATCATCAGCTGTGAGATGGAGGTGAAGTCATCTATTAACTAACAGCCAGAGCACTTACCATGGTCCATACAAGGACTTTACAAGCTCAATGTTTAATATTCCTCACAGTACTATTGCCAATAAGTCTCTGAGTCACAGGAACTATTATTGTCCATTTTCCTCATGAGAAAGTCAAGGCATGTAGAGCTTAGAAAACTTGTTAAGATTATACAATTTATATGGTAATAGGTCTGGGATCTAAAATATCTTTAATTTAACCTCATTCTTGGCCCTGCTTCTTAAGGTAACGAAAATCAAATAAGGAAATATATGCATAAGAATTTTGAAAACTAGTCAAGTGTTACTCAAAGTATCTTATCTTATATAATAAAAGCCTAATATGCTAAGTGTCTGGTCATCTGGTCATCTGTTCAACCAATCAAAGCATAATATGCTAATGATATGCTAAGGCAGATCAACCACTCCCTATGATGTACCCTGACCACCAGGGAGTACATGCTCTGACCAGTTGGTTAGCTTGCTGCTGGGGTCCAGCCAATCAGGACTGAGACGGTCTGACATGCCCTGGAGCTCTCCCTGGCTGGCCAATTTCCGGTGTCCCTCCGTTGCCCTGATCATGCACCCGTGGGGCCCCTTGGCCTGGCTTGCACCTCTCGCAATCCAGGACCCCTTGGGGGATGTTGGAGAGCCGGTTTTGGATGATCCTGCAGGTCAGGCCAAGGGACCCCACTGGTGCATGAATTTGTGCACTGGGCCTCTAGTATCTTAGAAGACCTTCCTAACATACTAGTGGTAACTAGTGTAAAATAATGTCTATTACCTGGTAGAGAGGACCACAATGCACACAATAATGATTCAGTGAGACCTGACTTTTCTTCTTGGTCATTGCTCTAGAATTATACTCAGGGAAAGAACTGAATGTGCAGCATCTGCTTCCTCCACGGGGATGAGGGAGGCTTCCCAGGATGTGAGGAGGTTGAGGACCAAATGCTGAGACTGAGTGTCCCTGATTCCTGAGCATGTGGTGCTGGCTAAAAACTCATGTCCTCAAGAACCAGAAAGGGAGTTGCTGAAAGAAAAAACTTAAGCAAAGACATAACCATGTAAGGTCAAAAGCACAGATTTAAAAAAGATGAACATTTTTTAGTGCTTGAAAACATAATATTCAGGGAAAGGCAAATTGTTGGCAGACAGATTCCCAATGGAAGTCTTGCTAGATAGTCAAAGCCCTACAAATAGAGCATAATCCTAGTATCTGTCTATATTTTGAATTAGGCAATTATAGTCAGAAGAATTCAGAATCGATTTTAAACATGGAAGAGTAGGGAGTTTGGGAGAGTAAAATAAGCTCCTTTTTGAGTGACTCACTAGGTTGCATTTCTCCTTTGTGTATCGTTTACTCTGCAGTGCCTGACACTTAATGGTTGCTCACCAAATGGTCATTGAATTTGCTTTGTTGAAATCAGGTCTCATGTCCTTATTTTTTAAAAATTGACTTTCTGATGAGAGAAGGAAGAGGGAGTGATGAAAACATAAATAATGAGAATCATCAATCTGCTGCCTCCTGCATGTCCCCTACTGGGGATTGTGCGAGTGCCCTGACCAAGAATCCAACCGTGACCTCGTGTTTCATGGGTGGATGCTCAACCACTGAGCTACACTAGCAGGCCTCATGTTCTTTACTCTGCAGCGGAGCGTGTTAACAGCTTTCACTATTAAAACCAGGACTGCTGGGGAAAACTCGAGTGTCAGAAGCGTGGGGGCTGTTGAACCTCTCCCTCAGGAGAGGAGGACAGAGATTAGGGCATCTCAGCATGGCTTTTCTTTAAGGTTTAGTTTGTTAGCTGTAGAGCCAGTTCATGGGGAACTAAGCTATTCTGATTCCTTGGAAGAATTAGAGAAATTTCTGTTGGAATAAGTGACCAGTCAAATTTACAAAGTACTACTCAAGAAATGCATTTTAGTTCTTTAAAATATATATATATATTTTTAATAAATCTTTATTGTTCAGATTATTACAAATGTGATCCTCTTCCCCCCCTCAATTGCTCCCCTTCACCAGGTTCCCACCCCACCCTCTGTCCTTTCCCCATCCCCCATTGTCCTCATCCATAGGTGCACAGTTTTTGTTCAGTCTCTTCCCGCACCCCCACTCCCCTTTTCCCTGAGAATCGTCAGTCCACTCCCCTTTCATACCTCTGATTTTATTATATTCACCAGTTAATATTGTTCATCAGATTTTTAAATTCCCTTGGTTTTTAGATTCACTTGTTGATAGCTACGTATTTGTTGAACATAATTTTTATCTTTATCTTCTTCCTCTTCCTAAATAACCTCCTTCAGCAATTCATATAATTCTGGTTTGGTGGTGATGAACTCTTTTAGCTTTTTTTTATTTGTGAAGCTCTTTATCTGTCCTTTGATTCTGAGTGATAGCTTTGCTGGGTAGATTATTTTTGGCTGTAGGTTCTTATTATTCATCACCTTGAATATTTCTTGCCATTCCCGTCTGGCCTGCATGGTTTCTGTTGAGAAATCAGCTGACAATCTTATGGGTGCTCCTTTATAGGTCACTACCTGCTTTTCTCTTGCTGCTTTTAATATTCTCTCTTTGTCTTTTGCTCTTGGAATTTTAATTATGATATGTCTTGGTGTGGTCCTCCTTGGATTCCTTTTGTTTGGGGTTCTGCGGGCTTCCTGGACTTGTAAGTCTATTTCTTTCCCCAGGTGAGGGAAGTTTTCTGCCACTATTTCTTCTAGTACTCTTTCGGTATCTTGCTCTCTCTCTTCTGGAATCCCCATAATTCTGATATTGGTTCACTTGAAATTGTCCCAGAGGTTTCTTACACTATCTTCAACTTTCTGGATTCTCTTATCTTCTCCCTTCTGCAGAGGAGTGTCCTCTGGCTCTTTGTGTTCTAAATCTTTGTCTTGATTCTTGCGATCTTCCAGTCTGTTTTTAGGACTTTGTATAATATTTTTTATTTCAGACAATGTTTTCTTCATTTCTTGTTGATCTCTTATTATTTCTAGTTGCTCCCTTTTCATATCCTCATAGGTCTCATTTATTTTATCGGCCTTTTTTAGGATATTGTTGAATAACCTTATAACTGTAGTTTTGAACTCAATGTCCAATCTTTTCTTTTCCTCCATCTCCTTCCTTTGTGTCCTTCTTCTTGTCTGCATTTTAGTTGTTTCCCTGATTTGATGGAATAGCTTTGTGTGCTAGGTGTTCTGGTAGAGCCCAGTAGCACAGCCTTCCCAGTTACCTGCGGTGGACAGTCTTGGTGTAGCCCTTTGTGGGCTGTGTGTGCAGTCTTGTTGTTAAGCCTTGCTTATTGTTGGTATCACTGAGAAGCATTGATCTCCAAGCCAATTGGCTGTGAGGATCAGCAGTGTCTCAGCTAGGAGGGTTTCCGTACTCTGCTTGAATAGGGCGGGGTCTCGGGGTGGCACAGACAATCTTTGGTTCCCTGTCAGTCTCGCCTTAGAAAAGTCCTGTTCGTGGAGAGTTTTGGAAGATTGGTTGCAGGCGCGCACGCACCTCTTTGGTAAAGGCGCAGACAAGCTTTGGATTCCTGCAAGTCCCTCCTTAGAGAAAGCCAGCCTCTGGGAGAGCTTCTGTGCTCAGCCACAGGTAGGGCGGAGTCTCGGGTTGGTGCAGACAAACTTTGTTTTCCCTTCGGCTCCTCCCCAAGTCCCGCAGTAATGGCCTCTGGCTTCACACACCTCCAAGAGATCTCTTCCCACTGCCTGACAGTCTGGCCTCTCCCTGTCTGGGGCCGTTTATCAGAGCAATAGGGTGATTCTGTTTTCCTCTCGGACAAGAAAGCCAGCAGCGTTAGCTGTTCGCCCTCTCCGCGCCAGGAGTAAGCCAGTAGTGAACTCAGCCCTGCCCGCCCTCTCTGTGTGCAGGGAGTAAGCCAGCAGCAATCTTGGTCCAGCGCCTTTTTGTGCACACAGTTCTCCGTACCTTCACAGTTCCTGAGGTTCAGCGTGGCTTCTCTCTCCTTCCCAGATGGCAGAGCCTCCTCTCAGCCAGCCGTCTGGCGCTTCAGGGCAATGCCTCCCCTGTTTTTCAGTTCTAAATTCAAATTTGTTGTGGTAGGCTGCATTCAGGTGTGTACCCTATGCCGCCATCTTGGTTTCTCCTTTAAAATATTTTCAATAATTTGTAATAGATTATTAAAAATATTGCTGAAAACTTGCTTTACTGAGTAAATTAGCCTGTAAAGTATTTGTAAATGAGTGTATCTAAGGTGGCTAAGCTTATGATTTTAGGTAAGTAAAATATTTCTCTTAACAACCTTATTTATAAACTTTATTCTTAAATACCCTTCTCCTTTTTTCCATAACAGTATTAAAGTAACTTTGCTCAATCACTGACATTTTTATATCTTGATAAGTAGAACCAAATTAATGAAATTATATATGTATAGTATTTTTAAAGCTTCTAATTGGGCATTTTATTGCTTTTTCGGTTTTATAATGTATATTGAGATGTTATAACTTCTGTATATTATAATGCCATATAGCATTGGAATCCTTTGTGCATTTAAATTTTTTATATTTTTCACTTTCAATTATTTATTTAGCTTTATATCATCCATATTTTAACCTATTGAAATATAAATGAAATACACTAAATAGCACTTATTTGAAGTGTACAATTTGATCAGTTCTGACATATGTGTATACCTATGAAACCATCACCACAATCAAGACAGCAAATGTCCACATCACCCTTAGAAGTTACCTTGTGCTTCTTTGTAACCATCACTCCTGCCTTCCCACATCTCTAGGTAACCACTCATCTGCTTTCTGTCATTACAGAATAGTTTGTGCTTTCTAGAAGTTTATATAAATACAATCATATAGTATACATTCTTTTCCTTTAACTAAGGATTTTGATATTCTTTATGTGGTGCATGTATTAAGGGTGCTCACCGCATCTCTGCGTGGGGACTTGGGTGCTGTGACTCAGGCGGAGAGGGGTATGTGGAGGCCCAGGTGCTGCCCAGGATCCAGAGGTCAGCTGAAACCTGCCCTTCCATGCCAGATGCTTGCACTTTGATAGCTGGTCAGGCCTAGGGACAGCACCTGTGCACAAATTTTGTGCACCGGGTCTCTAGTCTATACTAATAAAAGCCTAGGTGGCGCCTTACCCTTACATCATCACAAAATGGCCACCCCAATGTCATTACAAGATGGCCACTGCAAGATGGTCAGCAGGGAAGGGCAGTTGTGGATGATCAGGCCAGCAGGGGAGGGCAGTGGGGGGACCAGGCCTGCAGGGGAGGGCAGTTGGGGGCCATCAGGCTGGCAGGGGAGGGTAGTTGGGAGTGACCAGGCCTGCAGAGGAGGGCAGTTGGAGGCAACCAGGCTGGCAGGGAAGGGCAGTTGGGGGTGATCAAGCTGGCAGGGGCAATCGGTCCGGCAGGGGAGCAGTTAGGCATCAATCATGCCAGCAGGGGGTGATCAGCTGGCAGGCAGAAGCAGTTAGGGGCAACCAGGCAGGCAGGTAGGCAAATGGTTAAGAGTCAGCAGTCCCTGATTGTGAGAGGGATGCCTGCAGGATCAGGCATAAAAGGGCAGTCAGACATCCCCCGAGGGGTCCCAGATTGGAGAGAGTGCAGGCTGGGCCGAATTTTGTGTACTGGGCCTCTAGTATTTAATAAGACTATGTGTTCTCTTGAGGATGGTTACAATTATTTCAAAGTTGTATTAATCTAGATGCACAAAAACAATGGACAGGGCTTACTTAAGGCAAAGATAAACCTTTTACTAAGCAGTTATATGCCCAGGGCATGGCTACCCACTTTGACTGGCCCAGTTAGGAATTTATGATTAAATTACCCTGTGAGGTTACTTCCCATAGAACCCCTTTTGTAGTGCACAGATTGCCTTATTATTATTGAGTTGTTAATGCTCAATAATAATTCTGGATACAAATTCTTTATGTGCATGTATTGTGAATATTTTCCCCCATTCTCTGGCTTGCTTTTTTGTTTTGTTTTGTTTTGTTTTTCTAATGATGTCTTTTGAAGAGCAAAGTTTTTGAATGTAATAAAGTATAATTATTGATTTTTTTTTATGGTTCATACTTTTGTGTTTTTTCAAGAAACCATTGTCTGTCCAAGATTGCAAAAATGTTCTTCTATGTTTTTCTCACAAGTTTTTTAGTTTTAGTTGTTACATTTAGGTCTACGATTTATTTTGAGGAGATTTTTTAGTATATGTGAAGTGCTATATTGTTTCTGTTTTCTTAGGTTGTCTCTGAAATTTGATGATGCTGAAAATTCCAAAGGTCTTGAGATAAGGTAGGTATGGATACCACTTTGGAGTTCTTTAGGTTCAGCATGTCAGATTAGCTCCAAATAATTTATTCATTCAACATGTAAGTACCAAGGGCCTACTCTGTGCTAAGCAGTGACATGGGAAATGTCACAGCTACCTAATTACCCTGAAAAGCCAGTGGTGTTTTGTGATGGGATCTCATAGTCATGCTTTCTTTAGTTTTTAAAGCATCTGTAGTTTCCTCATTTAGGGACCCAGAGAACACATGAACACATGAATGTGAGAATGTGTAACCATTTTCACCTGAGCAAAGAATAAACCATATTTAAAACTCCAAGGGCTAAGGTTCTGGTTTGAAGTTATTTTCTGTATGGCTCTTTACAGTGAATCACACATCATTTAATGATAATGAAAAAGTGTCTGTTAGCTGAATCTCCCAGTGGACAGTCAGCACAGGCCTACATTTTTCTGTGTTTATGAATGTCAGGATATATCTGCCAAAATTGATTTATCTAAGCAGTTGGAAACTGTTTAAGGAAGGGGAGAGGCCAGCAATTTTAAGGGATTGCATTTTTTTCTTATAAAAATACTAGAGGCTCGATGCATGAAATTTGTGCGTGTGACCAGGGCCATCTTCCCCCGCTGCCCGCAGCCAACTCCACCCCCCGCCGCCACCCACCCCCAGTTCCCCGTTTGCCATCTGGTGATCCGGGCCTGATGACCAGGGGAAGGGACCAAGAGGTTGGCCATTCCTGCTTGCTAATGGGCCCTGCCCCCGCAGTAGGTGGCCATCAGATGATCAGAGCCTACAGGCCAGGGAAAGGGACAAGAGGTGGTCAGTGCGCCTCATAGTGACAAGAGGTGGTCAGTGCACCTCATAGTCTGGTCCATGGTCATTCTGGTCGTTCTGCTGTTAGGGTGAATTTGCATATTCCCCTTTTATTATACAGGATAATGTTTCCCTTTCTGTAAGACCAGGCTTTCAGTGGAGGTAGCGGCTGTGTCTTTAATACTACTTACAAAACTAGCAGAATTCGTTAGGGGCAATTTTCTTGGAGCTGTGTTCTGTGAGCTATTCCTGGTCTATGAAAATGTAAGATTCCTCAGAAGAGGCATTCTGTGGTCAAACATGGTTGAGAAAGACTGCACACCATGTGTGCCTCTTGGAAATTCACAGTATAAGTTTTTGTTGATTTTTGTTGATTTTAGAGGAAGAGTAAGGGAGAGAGAGAAACATCGATGTGAGAGAGAAACACCTATCGGTTACCTCTCACATGCACATTGAGCGGGGCTCAAACTCACAACCTAGGTATATATTCTGACTAGGATTCGAACCCACACCTTTTTGGTGTATGAGATGATTCTCTAGGCACCTGAGACACCCAGCCAGGGCTAAATTTGTATATGAAGGTTTTGTGAAGACAAGCTCCTTAGGAAGATTGTTGTGCTTGGTGACTTTGGTTCACCTAGTGTTTACCATCTTCAACCTTGGAAAACTCTCTCCTCAGAACTCTTGTCTGTATATAATAGAGCACCAATGTGTCACTGCTCATATTGAGATAATGCATGCCACTACCTTTCAGAGAACTTTATGAGAAAAAATAGAATTTCACAACATATCTGAACACATATATGTATTTGTTTTGATATAGAAATGAATATTTTATTCAAATCATACTCCCCCCCAAAATAGCTTTCTGACTTTTTTTTCTTGATGATAAAGATATATGGCAGACTCTGTCAGTACCCTATCCATATCCCCTTGGATGTTTCCATTTGAGAGCACTATTGTCCACCAGCTCTACTTTCAATTGCCAATCTTTCTTTGTCTGAAAGTTTACTCTGGCCAATCAGATTCACTGCCTCCCATCCCTACCCCAGAAACCTCAGCCAGTGACGGACAGGTGTAGAAATATCCCAGCTCCCTCACCTTCTGGTGATAACTCACAAGCATGTGTTCCTCTTTGGAGCCCGACATCCCAGGGTTCCCCATAGGCATTAGGCCCATTGCCCATGGTGGAAACTCGCTTGATAATGTGTCCTTTTGGCTGCCTTCCATTCTTTTGTTATTTTTCTTCTTTCCATTCTACATCTTTTGAATGACTAAATTACAAAATTAATTTGGGATCACCTTCCAAAAATACTTCTTGTATTTATATTCTTATCTCAGGGTCTGCTTTGTATTATCCAGCTAAGACAAGATAATAATACATATCTATTGGTAACAGAAAACTCAAAAAATATTAAGCTATAGAAAGAAGATGAAACTCACCCATAATTTAACCACAATTTATAATGATAATTAACATTTTGATCTCTAACTTTTTAGAATTTTTTTTCTATGCAATCATGTATTTTTCTATGTATTTTCTATGTGAAAAAAATGATCATGGCAAATGTACATTATAATGTATTTATGACTGAAGAATATGCAATTCTACAATAGCTAAGAATTAGGGCTGAAACCAGTTTGGCTCAATGGATAGAGTGTTGGCCTGTGGACTGAAAGGTCCTGGGTTTGATTCTTGTCAGGGGAATGTGCCTTGGTTGTGGTACATCCCCAGTGGGGGGTCTGCAAGAGGCAGCTGATTGATGATTCTCTCTCATCCATGTTTCTAACTCTATGTCCTTCTCTTTTCCTCTCTAAAAAAATCAATAAAATATATATTTTTTTAAAAAAGCGTTAGGGCTCTTGTCTACAGATTGAATTCAATACCTAGCTCCAATACTTACTCTCTAAGTGAACTTGCACAAGTTATATATTTAACCCCTTTGAGTATAGATTCCTCATCTGTGAAATGAGGATAACAATATTATCTATCTTTAGTGTTGTAGTGAAGATGAAATAAGATGTATATGAAAAACATAGAGTGCTCAACACAAAGAGTCATTATTATTAATTTTTCATTATTAATTTTGATCATTATTTCTTTAGCTAATTCTGTATTAATATCCACTTAAGTTTTTCGCAGTGTTTTTAACAATAATAAAATCAAGGGTTAATTCCAAAACAGAAAAAAGCCAAGATTTTTGTGTTTTTTTCCTTTTGTAGGAATTGTATTGCTACAATTTGGGGGAGCTGCCTGGTCTTTTGCTTTCGTTCCCACCCAGCAGGAAGCTCTTGTTCACAGCCATATGAAACTTTCTCTTTGAGCCACTTCTTCTATCTGACAAAAGAGGGCGAGATTGCACTGTTTATAGATGATGTTCTGTGTCAGCAAATGTGAAAGTGCTTTGGGGGTAATGCTGTTTTATATTTGTTTTCAGATTCATTCTTACCAATTACAACAAGTTTTCCATGCAGAGCTGGTTTCGTTTGCACCGAGTTGAGATTATTTTTAATAATTCAATCCAAGCAACTTTTAATGCAACCGGTATATATGCTCCGTCAAGTTATTCCTACCACTGCCAGCATGTCAGCAGCCAGCAGCGGTATGATGCCCTCTTGCTGCCCAGCGACATGGATGATATGTCAAGCCTGTGGGAGGTTACTTTCATTGATTTCCAGGTAATAAACGATTATACATGCTCCTGTGTGTTTGGTGCCAGAGAAACTCAGTATTTGTTTGAAAACATCTGACAGAAACATAGATGTTCAAGGTAAATAGAGGAGTATTTAAAATATTTAAAAAGTATTTCTTTTTCTTTATCCTCTAAGTCTGAGGTGTGAAATGGAGTAGGATAGTCTTTCCTCTCCCTGCATACTTGCCATCCCTCTTGATTTTACATTCAGGTTTATTCATTCACTAACAGATTATCAGGGAGGAATGCCAGCAATCTAAGCCCCAGTGAGGCTGTGGCCCAAAGCCCAGTCACTGACACTTCCTGGAGTGAGAAACCCTTCTAGGGAGAGGAATTATCAATTATTTTATTTCCTTCAGGGAGTGGAGCAGTGATCCTATCAGGGCAGATAAGAAGTATATCTGTAGCGTGAGTGACAGCTTTGGCAGTTAGCATAGGAATGGAGCTGTCAGCCAGGGAGTCAAAAATATCTCAGAGATCCTCTTGAAAGTATTTGGGGAAAGGCATGGGGGGCATAAGAGGTTCCTTTTCACCACCAGAATCTCAGACTCAGAGTTCTTTGTCGTGTTTACCTGTGAAAAAAGCTTTAACTTGTTTTTGCAACTCACTGAAATAGCACGTAGGTTGTCCCTTTTATTGGCATTTTCCAATCTTTCACATATATTTACCCCTTTTCCTCAGGTGGGGGAGGTGTGGTGTTGATGAGAGGTGATTTTGGCATAGGGAAGGAGCTTGCATTTTGGAGCCTGACAGTCTTGGTTTCCAATTACTTCTCAGCCACCTGGGCAAGTTATTTCACCTTCTCAATTTCAGATCTGTCTTTATGGATGTAAAGAATTCATGGCCTAATATATGTAGCAACACCAGGACCATGTCAGGCGTTGATTAACAATACTACTTATGAGTCCCATCTGGTGTCAGCCTGTTGCAGTAATTTCTCCAATGAGGTGACTGGAGTGTTGATTTACATCATTTTTCAAAATGAGATAACTGGCAAATGGTAGAGATAGAATTTGAATTCTGGACTGTTTGGCTTAAAGACACTTTAATACATATTAAACATATATTTAATTATTTTATATATATATATATATATATATATATATATATATACACACACACACATACATATATGTATATATTTATATTTTTTAGAGGCCTAGTGCACAAAATTTGTGCACTCGGAGGAGGGGAGTGTCCCTCAGCCCAGCCTGAGCCCTCTTGCAGTCTGGGAGCCCTTGGGGGATGTCCAACTGATGGCTTAGACCTGCTCTCCTTGGGGAGTGGGCCTAAGCCATCAGTCAGACATCCTTAGTGCTGCCAGAGAGGTGGGAGAGGCTCCCACCACCGCCACTTAGCTCACCAACCTTAAGCCCAGCTCCCTGGTCGTCAATTGAGTGTCTGCTCCCTGGTCGTCAATGCGCGCCATAGCAACCAGTTCCGCCATTCTGTCGATTTGCATATTAGCCTTTTATTAGATAATAAAAGGCTAATATGCAAATCGACCATCACTCTAAGACACAAGATGGCCACCTCCATGTAGTCAAAGATGGCTGCCCCCATGTGGACACAAGATGGCTGCCACAAGATGACCTGCAGGGGAGGGCAGTTGTGGGCAGTTAGGAGTGACCAGGCCAGCAGAGGAGAGCAGTTGGGGGTGACCAGTCTGGCAGGGGATGGTAATTAGGAGTATTTGGGCCAGCCAGGGAGCAGTTAGGCGTTGATTAGGTTGTCAGGCAGAAGTGGTTAGGAGCAATCAGGCAGAGGCAGATGAGAAGTTGGGAGCCAGCAGTCCTGCACTGGGATCGGGCCTAAACAGGTGGTCAGACATCACTCAAGGGGTCCCAGATTAGAGACAGTGCAGGCTGGGCTGAGGGTCCCTCCCTTCCCCCCTTGCATGAATTTTGTGCACCGGTCCTCTAGTATATAAATATATCTTGCCCCTTTAAAAGAGAAGCAAGCAGAAAGGGCAATAAGGCAATAATAATGAAGTCAAGGAATAACTCATACAGTTTTACCTAATTAGAACAGTGGAAGTGACTGATGTTTATAAAAATATATTTTTATTGATTTCAGAAAGAAAGGGGGAGGGAGAGAGAGATAGAAACATTAATGATGAGAGAAAATCATTGATTGGCTGCCTCCTGCATACCCACACTGGGGATTGAGCCGACAACCAGGGCATGTGCCCTGACTGGATATCAAATCAAACCATGACCTCCTGGTTCATAAGATGATACTCAACCACTGAGCAACACCAGCTGGGAAGAAGTGACTGATTTATGCCTCCATCTTGTTCCAGAAATAACTTAAGGTGACTCATACACATACTATAATAAAAATAACTTTGCAAAATAGGGAAAGACATGAAGGTTAAGAAAACCAACAGAAGAAAAGATCAGTTAGATCTGGTGAGGCTGGTACATAAAACCACAAGACCACCTGTGTGCCCTGGATTGAAGTGGCTCAGTCATTTGGCTCTGAAGATTTGGCCAGAGAAAGAAACACTCATCCAGTTACATGCTCCTGGGGTCCATAAGACTACTGAAAATGTGTGTGTGAGGAGTCTGTCCATCCCTGGTGCTGTGCAATAGGTGCCAACATTGTGGACAGCAGCCTTTGTGTGAACACAGCCATCTCCCGTCCAGAAAATGGATGGAGAACATATCTTTCAGGAAGTCTCTGTAGATACTGTTCAATTCAATCACGTCTTGTTTAGAATGACATGGCAGTCAGTATGAGGATGTTCTCTTTGGCTAGAGTTGCAGCATCAATGAGTCCATCATTTGTAATTGAGGAGCTTGATTCTTCAGGCCCTGAGCTGGAGACTGGGCCACTTTACCTCTTCATAGAGAGGGCAGGCCAAGGATCGCAGAAGCCGGGCCAAGACTCTCCTTCAGAAGCTGTTTTAGATTCAGTCTAGAGTACAGACAATTGGATGAGCGAGACCCCTAAGGTCTGTGGCATGATGAGTGGCTACAAGTACTTTAGCATGGAAAATGCTGCCGTGCCCACTTACATTATAAAAATGAATTCTCACTAAAGCACTCGTGGATAATTCAATTTCCTGACCGACTTCTTTAAAATTAACTAGATGCCTGAGTGAAGTGACACAGTGTAGTGTTACATTCTAGAAGCCAGCTACATGTGGGGCTGCCTTCCGCAAAAGACTGCTCCCTTCCGAGTAGTTGCTCTGCAGCCTTGTTTCTTTCATTGTGATAGTATTTGGATGTCAGGGCCAGTTGGTGATTTGAGCTCTCCTTGTTCCAGCTAATTAAACCACTCCATTGTGCATATGGGAAAGCTTTCCTTTCTATTCTTTGGGTAGGATGCAAGGAAGGACTGCTATACAGCTCTTCCAGAAACAGTACCAAGTTGGTAGGGCACAATAGATAAAGAGGGAGAGGGAGAAGAGACAGACCACACCAGGAGTTATAGGGCAGTGACTCTGAATCCAGACTGCCTAGGTTTGAATTATAGCTTTACTATACTTAACACTGTGTGACTCTGGTTAAAAGTTACTTAACTTTTCTGTGCCTCAATTTCCTCATCCACAGAATAGACTAGAATAATAATGTACTCACAGGCTCCTGTAAATTAAGTGAGTTAAGGTAGCATTAAACCTACAATAACTGTTAGCTTTTATTATTTTCTATGTTTTACATCATTGGGAATCATGTACCCTTAAAAGAGTCTTCCTATCTAATTTCTGTCAACCGAATCAAAGGTAGACGAACTAAGTCTTCAAATTCTTTATGAAATTTATTCTGAAACAAAATTTTGAGTGTGTTTGAATTTTAGAGACACTACAACGTTGTGGTTTTAGGTGAATGAGAACATTTCTAAGGGACTGACTAAAAGAAGTTTTATTTTAGATCCTTGAAATAAAAGTTTTATTTCAGAGCCTTGAATTTCATGAGCTTCTTATTTATGGCAGTCAAACATCCTAGAGGAGTTTCTGGGTCAGTCTTGATTTAAAAGTCAGTTTCACTGTCCTGTAAGCACACTCACACTTGTTAGATCATGGGCTTAAGTTATTTCATAAATGTGGGCAGAGTATCTTAAATTTGGCTAATGAAGGGGTCCAGAACCCCAGCCTGACTGGGAAATGTATCTTAGGAGAAAATTTGTCATTTCAGTTCTTCTCTTTCTTTATCTTTTTTCTTTTTAAATGTATTTTTAGTGATTTCAGAGAGGAAGGGAGGGAGATAAAGACAGAAACATCAATGATGAGAGAGAATCATTGATCAGCTGCCTCCTACATGACCCCTACTGGACCCCTACAAGGGCAATCCAGGCTTGTGCCCTTGACCAGAATTGAACCCAGAAATCTTCAGTCCACAGGCTGATGTTCTATCCACTGAGCCAAACCAACTGGGGTGTCTTCTCTTTCTCCTGACAGATCCAAGGCTTTACCATCAATGGGGAGCAGTTTGCCAAGGCCCGAGACTGTGCTTCTTCCTTCTCACCAGCTATTCTGATTGCCCTGGCCATGTCCTTGATCCTGCTGCTGGTCCTGGCCTACACCCTACACATGCTCATCTACCTACAGCATCTGGACAGGCACTCCGATTTCATCACCTCTCCGGCCCACTTCCCCCAGCTGAAAGCAAGAGATGCAGCAGAAGAGAAGCTGCTGAAGAGCCAGGGAGTTGAAAGCTATGAACTGAGAACCCAACAGATCTGCAAAATGTACGTGTAGTAGCCCAGGCATTCTCTCCTACAAAGTCCACAGTGGGGTTAGAAAGGATTGTTTGTATTCTGTGTTGTTGCACTTCTAATGCATGGTTTTCACCAAATGGCTTGATTTTTAAAAAAGGAAATACATGTAAAAAATACATAAGTATCCATTCACCTACTGAGGTAGACTTGGGGCAATGAAAAGGAATTGTCAGGAATCCCACAAAGATAAATATGATGGTTCATTGCTCCAAAGCTACCTTGAAGGCAAGTTACCTTAAAGTTAGGAAGATGAAAAAAACACACTAAAAAAACACACCAATGCAATATAAAGAAAGGAAAACTCTTGTTCTTGTTGCCTGTGCCAGTTTGGATATGATAAGTGTAGAAATAATAAATCCAAGGTTATCTGGAAGATCTGAATTTAAAATACTTTGTAACATAGTTTGCATTTTTCATAAATTATGTCACAATTTTGTTTTAAAAACAAATCTTTTTTTCTCATTTATAGAACTATTTAGGGGGACTCCTGTCAGTATAGTAGAACACTCTACCCAAGGGTTTTCTTTATTTTTTCTTTATTTTTTTAAAGAAACTGAACTTTAAAAAATACATGTATTTTTATTGATTTCAGAGAGGAAGGGAGCGGGGGGAAAAGAAACATCAATGATAAGAGGGAATCATTGATCAGCTGCTTCCTGCATGACCCCCTACCGGGGATCAAGCCCACACACAATTTGGGCATGTTCCCTGACCAGGAATCAAACCTTGACCTCCTGGTTCATAGATCGATTCTCAGCCACTGAGTTACACCAGCTGGGCTCAAGGGTTTTCTTGACATTTATTCTCAATTCAGAGGAAGCCCAGTTCAATCTGTGACGTAGGGGTAGTAATCCTGGTAGCATTTTTATCTTTTCTATCTGGTTGTGATGTGAAGGTTCCTCCTACATGTCTGATTTAGACCTTCATTAGCTCCCCTAGGTGCCACATGAAACAAACAACTGAGCCAAGTAAGAACAGTGTGTTTGCTATGCAAACACAGCTTCAAGGCAAATCCCCTGAACCCACTTCCAATGAGATAGTATCCCTAAATTCTTCTTTAATAGGAAATCTGTTGCCACCACTAGTCTTCTATCTCCCATTTTCTTCCACATGGATTTCCCCATAATCTTTTTCAGCTCTTAGCAGATACTGGAGATTGGCTCACTCTGCATCTTCACCAAAACCCCTCTAATATGCTTCTGTGTTAAAGAGATCTTAAGTATAAAAGGTTTATTGCATTTCCCTAATGAGATTTTTGTACATGACCTTGGTACAACTGATACCTTCGCTCAAAACTTAGAATACAGATAGGAACAACATGGGTTGGGGCGTGAGAGTGGGGAGGGGTGGGGGAGAGGAAGTGGGTTGGGGAAGGGGGAGGTGTCAGGCAGAGGGAAATTGGATCTTCCAGGCAGTTGTGTGGATGGGAAATCTAGTCTCAAGTAGCAAATGACAATGGCTATGGGATTTCTGATAGAACAGTCTCATCTTGGACTCATTTTTCTGGCTGCATTCTTGGTTGTGAATTTAGGTTTGGTTCCAGCTCTCTCAGAATTCTGTAAGCTCATAAAACTGTGTGGTGAATTCCTTTCTGATTTAATACCTGTAGAAGATTGTGTAGTCTACAACGAAGAGTCTTGATTTATGTACTTATAAGTACATAAGATGATTATAGGGAACAGACCTTCAAGAAAATGGGAATCTAGGATTATCTGACTCTGACTTAAAATCAGTGAGGATTATGTTAGCATTAGAGAATAGAAAATTGATAGCCAATGCCATTCCTTAATGTAATAGATTTGCCCTTTGGTCTCCTTGATGGTCCAGTGGTGGTACAGATAGCTGCTTTGTTAGGCTATAGGTCCATGAAGAGTAAACATAATTTACCATTCAAACAGGGGGTCACTTTTGAAAGTGAAAGGGAATGTCAACAATTGCAAGATAAGATACATAAACCTGATGGTTGCCACACAAATTGGGATATAGTCACCCCAGATATGGGTGATACCCTGAGGGAAGGCTGGCTCTTTCTATCTAGGCTGGAAAGCTTACAGAAAGAAAATAATAGCTCAGGATTTTAGTTTTGCAGCTCAAGGCATGGTAAAAAATCTGGGGTGTTTCTGTGACTGATTTACAAGGATCTCTTATCTCTTGTCAAGGGGCTGACAGTGGAAAATCAGACCGAGGTCTGATCCTGCAAATTGGTAAACTGCATTGCAGGTAGAATTCATAGCTTGCCATGGCTCTTATATAAACATGAGAGCATTGATTACAAAAGAGAGAAACCTTGAAATAGGAATGGTAACTTTGGGGAGAATTTAGATGACTTTAAGGAGGTTTAACCTCCAAACTCCAGTGAGGTTCTCTTGGCTAGCAGAAGTAACCCCAGAGAAAAGAGTCTATTCCTGCCTTCCTTGGAAACTCTGTGAAGGGCCCCACCAGAGGTAGTTACTTGGCTAGTTTGTGCCATTTTTCTTCAATGCCTCGAGGCAAGTAGAGTCATGTTCTAGCACATCCCAGGGAACCAATTGCAAAGTCAAATCCGAGAAAATAAAATTGCAAGGGTTTGCTAATTTATGCAGCAAAAGACTTGGGGGAATATATGTAGGAATGGATTCTGAAGGTGCAAACTCAGAGAGTGAGGTGTATAATTTTAGATGGGGCTGACTTTTTTTTAGATAGTTTTTCTTACTAGATTTTGGAATAAATGTGCAGATTTGAACAACTGGGGATACTTTTAACAATTTTTTTTCAGTTAATTGATTAAAATTTGGACTCAACAATAGCATACACTAAGTGAAGTTGATACCAGAAATCCCTTGGTATGATATAGAGAAATACAGAGAAATAAAAGAAATTTAATAACTTAGGAAATTGGGATGTAGGAATAAATTTATCATGCTCTCCCCTACATAATTATTTCCTCTGTGAAGGCCCAAAAGACATTCCTTTTGTCATTGCACTGTGAAATACATTGAGAACATAGTATCGACATTTTTGAAGCACTCTAGTAGCTGCCTCTGGGGGCTATAGGGGAAGGTAGGAGATACTATCCTAGAAGTGGAATTCTTAGTCTCAGTAGGGATGCTGGGATTCTGGAATGGCAGAGGTCAAGTAGCAGCCAGCAACCTTAAAGGGCTGAAGGGCAGGAGTGTTATTCAGATTAGATTATGTTTATTAATGGTAAAATAATTTATGAAAAATCCACTGAAGTGCTGCTGCTGCCTCCTCCTTCTCTTCTTCTTCCTCCTCCTCCCCTTCCCTCTCCCCTTTCCTCTTCTTTTTCCTCCTCCTCCTCCTCCTTCTCCTTTCTTCTCCCTCTTCCCTACTCCCTTCTTCCTTCTTCTTCATTCTCCTCCTTCTTCCTCCCCCTTCCTCCTCCTTCTCTTCCTCCTCCTGCTCCTTATCCTTTTTCATTATCACCATCATCTAATTCTGGTTTTAAAAAACCTTACTGAACCATCATAGTGTCTTCCTAGAGCTGAGACTGCTTGTAACTCAAACTCCTTGAATGAAATAAAAACCTCTTAAAAAAGGGTTTATGGTCTTCATATCTAATGTTGAGCATTCTCATAGAAAGTTTTATACTTGTCAGTTGGTTACAGTACTTATGGTGTGTTCTGATCTTCGGTAAAGAATTTACACTGTTTCCATGGATTCCTTTATTATCAACCCAACAGATATGTGATTATTGCCTTGAAATTGTTATTACAGGAATATAGCCTAAGAGATATCTGTCTTCCTGGGACGTCTGGAACAATATGGCAATGAAAGTGATGTTTGATATGAGTAGGAGTTGACCAGGTAGGTAATGTGGAGAAGGACAAACATAGCAAAAAGAAACATATATGTAAATACTAGACTTTACCATGTGCAGAGAACTATGCAATACATATATGTAGGTAGGCACATATAATCTATTTAGAGGAATGAAGAGAGGGAACAGATTATTTTAATTCTGTTTAGCACTCAACTAAAGAATTAGAATCTTGACTTTAGGTAATGGTGAGGCCCCCAAGATAATTTTAAGCAAGATAATTACATGGTGTGTGTGTATAGAGTAAGATAGAAATGCCAATCAGGATATTATTGCAACATTCAGACAAAAAATGATGGGACCTAAACTAAGACAGTGGGGTGGGAAGAAAGAGCTACAAGAGGTGTGTAGGAGGTTGCTTCAATAAGACTTGGCAAACATTGGCAAAACACAAATAACTGGTAGGTATCTTATGTGGGGTGCTGGGTGGATGGTAATGCCAGTCTCTATAATCAGGGAGAAAGGGATGAGAGGAATGGGAGTTGGGAGATTCCTGTAGGCAGGTCTTATAGTAGAGGCCCACGAATGGATTTGGGACCATATGTGCATAGAAAGGTCTTAACTAGAAAATGGTAAATGTAGCAGAAGCTGTCACCCACATACCTTTACCATTTCAGTGTATCCTGGTGGCCCTTTTTCCATTGCCAATAACTGCCCTCAGAGGCAGCCATACCTGTGTTCTTGGAAGGTTAGAAGCACTGAAGAATTAATGCCTCCCTGGGAGTAGTCTTCATCCAGTGACTCTTAGGAATTGTATTCAAATACTCCAGTCATTTGATCATTCTGGAGTGTCTTCTACACCATTTCCTGGAGTTCCCAGCAATACTAAGCTTTTTCCCATTGTGATATCTTGCTTGATAATGTTCACTTTATTGATTCCCTTCTCTGCCCTGTTTTACTTCCCTGCTTTCCAAATGATATTTCTGGTGTCACCTCCAAAATAAAGGAGTTGTATGCAAATTCTTTTCTCAGGAGCTCAAATTATGTCAAGCACTGTTGTCTTTATGTCTGACACTGAAATCTGAAGTCTGCATAGAAGGCATTTTGAAGGGGAAGATGGATGTAATGTTGGGGAGAGCAAGGACGAGCTAGAATTTATAAAGAGGAGTTGGGACCATGAGAAATAACTGGGACCTGTATCAGTGTTCACTGCTTTCAATCTTGATAAAGTAGTGCTCTTTGTAACAGAGCTGAATAGATGACCCAGGAATTGAAGATGTTGAAGGAGGATCTGGGAAAAGATGAGACAGCTGTAGGTCTGGGTGTTGCTAAGTACAAGGAAGATGAGTCTGCAGATAATGATAATATGCTTGAGCTACAAATGCACCTGATTCTACCTTAAAAAAAAACTTTATTGTTGAGTTTATTACAGATGTTCCTCTTCCCCCTACCCCATTGCTTCCCTCCAACCAGTTCCCACCCTACCCCAGGCACTTACCACCCTATTATCTGTGTCCATAGATAAAGAAGAGGCTCCTTACAATATCTACATATTTTTGGATTATTTTTTCTTTTTGCTCTTCTGATTGGGTGTTTTTTGCTTCTTCAAATTTCAAGTTGTTGATTTGATTCTCATGCATATAAGATCTTTGATCTCTTCCCACTCCCTCTCTCTCCCCTCCCCCATACACACACCCCTTCCTTCTGAGTATCATCAGTCTGTTCCATTTCCACGTTTCTAATTCTAGTCCATTCACCAGTTTATTCTGTTCATCAGATTTTTTATTCATTTCATTTTTAGATTCAATTGTTGATAGATGTGTATTTGTTGCCACTTTGTTGTTTTATCTTCTTCTCCCTTTTCTTAAAGAATACCCTTCAGCTGGTTTTGTGGTGAACTCCTTTAGCTTTTTCTTGTCTGTGAAGGTCAAGAAAGCTCTTTAACTGACCTTCAATTCTAAATGATAGTTTTTCTGGGTAGAATAATCTAGTTGTAAGTTTTTGCTAGTTATCAGTTTGAATATTTCTTGCCACTTCCTTTTGGCCTGCATAGTTTCTGTTGAGAAATCAGCTGACAGTCATATAGGCACTCCCTTGTAGGTAACTGTTTTTCTCTTGCTGCTTTTAACATTCTCTCTTTGTCTTTTGCCCTTGGCATTTTAAGTATGATGTGTCTTGGTGTGGTCCTCTTTGGGTTCCTCTTGTTGGGGTTCTCTTACAAGTGCTTCCTGGACTTGTAAATCTATTTTTTTCACCAGGTAGGGGAAGTTTTCTGTCATTATTTCTTCAAATAGGTTTTCAATATCTTGCTCTCTTTTGGCACCCCCTTAATACAGATATTGATATGGATGTTGATACACTTGAAACTGTCCCAGAGGCTCCTTACACTATCTACATATTTTTGGATTATTTTTTCTTTTTGCTCTTCTGATTGGGTGTTTTTTGCTTCTTCAAATTTAAAATTGTTGATTTTATTCTCAAGATTCTCTAGTCTACTGTTAAAATCTTATATATTATTCTTCATTTCAGTCAGTGTATGCTTAATTTCTGACTAGTACTTTTCCTTCTTTTTTTTTTTTTTTTTTTTTTTTTTTTTGCATTCTCACTAAGATCCTTGAAAATCTCACTAAATCCCTTGGAAGTTTTTAGAGGATTCTTGAGTAATCTTATCACCCTGGTTTTGAATTCTATATTCAGTAGTTTGCTTTCTCCCATTTCTTTCATTTTTTTTAAGACATATTTTTCTTGATTTTTGCAGAGAGGAAGGGGGAGGGATAGAGAGTTAGAAACATTGATGAGAGAGAAACATTAGCTGCCTTCTGCACACTCCTTACTGGGGATGTGTCTGCAACCAAGGTACATGGCCTTGACCAGATCAAACCTGGGACCCTTCAGTTCACAGGCCAATGCTCTATCCACTGAGCCAAACCAGTTAGGGCACCATTTCTTTCATTTATGACATGTTTCTTTGTTTCTGCATTTTGGATTCCCTGTGTTTGTTTCTATGTATTGGGTAGAGCTGCTAAGTCTCCTTGAGTTGATAGAGTGGACTTGTGTAATAGGTGTCCTATAGGGCCCAGTGAGTTAGCCTCCCCAGTCTCCTGAGGTATACACTTTAGGTGCACCCCTTTGTGGGTTGTGTGCACAGTATTTAAAAAAAAATATTTTTATTGATTTCAAAGAGGAAGGGAGATGGAGAGAGAAGATAGAAACATCAATGATGAGAGGGAATCATCTGCATTGGTTGTCTCCTGTGTGCCCCACATGCAGGATCGAGCCCACAACCCAGGTATGTGCCCTTGACTGGAATAGAACCTGGGACCCTTCCAATGAGCCAAACCAGCTAGGACTATGTGCACAGTTCTGTTGTAGTTGAACCTTGATTGCTGTTGGCTGTCAATTGGAATTGACCTCTAGTCCAATTGGATGTGGGTACCAGCTTCGACTACAGTGCAGAGCTACTGTGCAGGGGACACCCTTATGGAGCAGGACTTGCTTCAGTGGGGTTTTGGTGCTCACTGAGTCAGCCCCTTGAGTGTGTCACTTATGGATGTGTAGAGTTATAATCTGGTATGGTCTCACACTGACCACTGCATAAACTGGCTCTTGGGTCTCCAGGGAGGTGCAAAGTCAGCCACTGCCTGGGGTCACCCAGCTGGAGCTACAGAGAGATCTTCAGATTCCTCCTCTTTGTGTCAGGTTTGGAAGTGCTCAGAGGAGGACCAACTATGAAGCAAGGCAGGCTGATGCCAGGTCTTGGGCCTTTTATTGATAAGTTTGGGGCTCCCTGACCCGGCTGCAGCCTGAGCATGGACAGGCCATTCATATGCAAAAACTGCTGCGCACAGTTTGGGTGAGTCGTAAATTGGGTAGAGTGGGATCTCAGGGAATCACCAGGTCTGAGCAAAAAGAAATGGCTGCCAGTCATCCCTGTGACCAGGGAGTTCCCAGCCCTGGAACAGTGGCCTCTGTGAGCACCTCTGACAGAAAGAAAGCTACCTTCTTCTCCACTTCCCCCCTTCCCCCAAGGGTTCCTGCCCTAATGCCAGACAGTCATTTCTCCTTGTATGTATCTGGGTCCCCCAGAGCCTCGCCCAGCACTGGAACTCAGGAGAAATGGGAGTTTGCAAGTTCAGTTCCTGTTGCTAGCCTTTTAAGAGGAACAGCTGGGTGTCCAGCAGCTCTGTGTCACTGAGCCCCAATCTGCACTGGTTTTTACAGCCTGTAGTTCTTACTGCCCATGGGAACTTCTTTTCCCTAGCTCTGGGACCCTGGGCTGGGAGTCTGATGTGAGGCTGGGACTCCTTGCTCCTCTGGGCGGCCTCCGTAGAGATGATCTCTTTCCTGATGAAAAAAGCGGCACACTGGGTGCCTCCGCATCTCCTACCAGTATCTGTGTGCTTTCTTCTTTACTTCTCTAGTTGGAGGACTTCCATTCAGCCAGCTTTCCAGAAGTTCTGGATGGTGGCTGTGCTGTATTTTAGTTGTCATATTGACGTGTTTGTGGGAGGCAGTAGTACAGGCATTCGCCATCTTGGCTCTCCACTCTAACTCTACCTATTGAAGGTTAAAAATGAGATGGTTGCTGCTTTACTTCCACCTAAATCTCATGCAGATAGGTTTCTTAAACATGGTGTACCTTAACCAGAAACACAGGGAAGTGAATCAGCGCATCTTTTGGACATATTCCAAAGCCACCATAGCCTACTCATTGTCAACTTGGCACCCATATACATCTCTGAAAAACTATACTATTTTAAAAATAAACATTATAACAAAGTTATACTTCTGCCTAAGTACAATGTGTACAACTGAAAATATTCTAACCCTTTCTCCAAAGTGAATACTAATTTGTATTTTTGGCCATATTCATTCTTCTTGCAGGTTATTCAGTCTCCTGCTTTGATATTCTGTTAATTTATACTATGATATAAGGTTAACAACTACTACACATCTTATGTTAGATGGTAGGAGAATGGGAAAGAGGAAGAAAATAAAGATTTTTATATATATTATGTTCATATCAAAATAAGGAAGAACTACTTATAACTACCATACTCATCATCTCTGCAATTAGTCATGTGATGTAGCTGGTATTTATAATTGCCTTTTTCTACTAGTTGGAATACCTTGACTGTGGGTAACCTAAACATTTATTCCTGAAGTTTCTGGGCTATTACATTTTGCCTGAATTGACTTAATGAAATTTTCCATTGACTTTGGCCATAGAATAGGAAAGTACTAACAGGCACCCAGGGTTCCTCTCTGTACTCCTTATGCAGTGGCAATCCCATCACCAGGACCAATGAAGTGAATCCAGAGTTTTCACACTATTTGCATTTGGACTAGATAATTCTTTATTGTAGGAGGGGCTGTCTTACGCATTGTAAGATGTTTAGCAGTGTCCTTGATCTCTACCCACAAGGTGCTAGTAGTGCTCTCCTGCAGTTGTGACAACCAAAAATGTTTCCAGATATTGCAAATGTCCTCTGGATAAAATTATCCCCAGTTGGAAGCCACTGAAATAACCCCTTTCTTTGCCAGTAGGTTCATAGATATACGGACCCAAAAATGGCTGTGTCAGTCTCAACTTCCAGTTCAGTGAAATCATTGTTTTCTCTTCTGGTGAAAGCATTCCTCTCTTGGAACTAAGACCTTTAAGCCAACTGAGCCAAAAATTACAGGACTGGAAAGTAAAAACTGTGTTATCCAAGGAATGGTAGCTGAGATTGCACACAAAAGGGACACTTTGGTTTTTACATTGGTTTTCTTTTTTCATCACAGCTAGATTGAGATATAGTTGACATATAACATTTTGTAAGTTTTAAGGTGTATAGCATGTTGATCTGATATACTTATATATTGCAAAATAATCACCACCATAGCATTAGCTAATACATCCATCATGTTGCACAATTACCATTTATTTTTTGTTGTGAGATCATTTAAGATGTAATCATTTAGCAGTTTGTAAGTATATAATTCAGTATTATTTGCTATAGTGAACACATCAGA